GGGTGAAGAGCCGGGCGCTTGTAACGGCTCTGGCTGCTCTGGGGGAGGAGAGGGCATGTAGGATTAGGGGAAGGAGGATTCATCTGCCAAACTAACCCCCTTTTGAACCAAGGAAACGCAACCGTAGACGCCACCTAAAAACCAAGACATAAGAGATAGTGCTAAAAGTTATTTTCCACAGAAAGAAACCAGCTGGCCGGTGGGATCAAAAGGAAGGCTCACACACCATCTGGCAGCCCCTTCAAAAAGCTGTTTCCCTCCAAATCTCAAAATGAACCAGTTATTTTTAAGTCTGCTGAACCCAACCCAGAAAGCAAATGGCAAGCAAGGGCAGGCTTGTTGCTGGCGATGATCAGGGTCAGCCTGGTGTTTCAGCTGTCGAGGCCATGGGGCAGGGCCCCACTGGGGCCCCCTCCTCTTTCCTCCACCCACCGCCACAGCACCAGGATGACACAAGCCCTACCACGGGCACCAGCGCACCGGGCCGAGCCCTTGGTTCACCTTTTCTTGCGGTGGGCCCTGACGGTGCTGCGAGCAGAGCAACGCGCACCCTCGCCCGGACGTTTCCTTCCTGGTGGGGTAGCTTGGTCAGTCCCCAGGTCCCTTTGTCCTCACTCAAAAACCTGGCACTGCTTGTGCTTGTGATGCGGGGCAGCACACCCGCTTCTCTCCCGCTCACCAACTTCCCAGGCCAGATGTAAAGGGCGCAAAACCACAGCACAGTGCTGGCAATGCACGCTTTCTAGTCTGTAGCAGATGAGGCGAGATAAAAGCAATGGAGCCCCACACATTGGGCTTGCTTTTCTCTTTTCCAGTTTTCAATATGCTGTGGTTGGTGGGCGTTTACAGGCCTGTGTGGGCGCTGAGCCCCACCAGCACCAGTCAGCCCTGACCCTGAATTGAGGAAATCACAGCTCACATCAAAGACAACTTCTAAGGACTGAAGTAGCCACTCAAACATGTTCAGTAAACTGAGCTGAAGACCTCTGAGTTGGGCAAAACCCAAACAAGGAAGCTAGTGATTTCATTTTGAAACTTGCTCAAACTACACTGTGAATTAGTATTTGCCCTTAAAACTCTCTGATTTAGTTTCCCTTAAGCTTCTTCATTCCCTCTGCCTCTAATAATGCACAGAAATTATTTTTACTTCAGCAAACAGATGAATAAAATCCTGCAGGAGGGCACATACAGGACTGCAGCCAGACTGGGCTTTTGCCTTCCTCCCAGGACACCCATGAAAGCTATAGATGTTTCCAGTCCCTGGAGAAGAGGTGTTTCTTGTCCTCGTCTGTGAGTGTGATGTTATAGTATCCTATAAATGGCAGGTAAAACCTGAGGGAGTAATTGCTGCTGGTTATTTTCAAATGTACTGGATCTTGCAAATGAAAAGCAACATCCAATAAAACCTAGGTGTGTGAATAATTAAAGTGGCAGCACGGGACAAATAAACTTAAGAAATGAAAAGCATAGGACAAAAAGGAAAAGGAGTTATGAGTGGGCAAGAGAAAGTTAAGGACAACACTTGGGTTACTTTTCCAAATATGCAATTATTTCTGCAGAAACTGTTATCCTGCAAGATGGCACATCAGAAAATGATGTCTCTGCTAATAAATGATTGAAACTATTGAAGAGTGCATTTCCAGCCTTTAAAGTAAAAATAATGTGTCTTTAAACCCAAAATGCTACAGTTTGTGGTAGCCAAATGAAAAATTCTGCTACTTTTATTAAAGCAAGGAAAACTAACTAGGACTCAGAATAATTTAATTTAGAAATAAATTTATTGTATGAGCATTGGTGGGTCACAGACTCCACAGATAAAACTTTTAAGCCCCTAGGAGCTTTGTCACCACCTCAACACCTTACTGAGAAAACACCCCATCATTAGTGATCGGTGTCTATTGGATAACTACCAATTTACCTGCTTTTACCCACAAGAAAAATGTAGCAGGTTACTTAGTTGTCATTACTGCCTAAACTACGTTGACCTACACCCAGGAATTTGCTACAAAACCAGGCAACACAGTAATTGGTTTGCTTGCCTGCCAAAGCCCAGGGATCCAGTGGTCTCTAGCTGAGGGGGTTTTAAATACCAAAGGACTTGGAAACTTTAAAATGTTTTACTTCAGGTATCTCACTTTGGTGTCTGCAGAAGAAACATGATACTGTTCTTTCTTTAGTAATTAATCGAAGATGTGGGATGCAGAACACTTTCGAAGTATCATTTCTGTCCTTATTCTGTAACCATTCATTCTGTAATTTGAAAGGCTAGAAAAAAACTTTCAGAACATTAATCTTCACTCTCGATGCTTGTGAGGCTGTAAGACCCTTTGGTGGTGAGCAGCACAGGAAATCTACTCAGGGAACAAACGACTCTTGCAGACACTAAACGGAACAGGTGAATGTATGTATGCAGTGCTTATGTGTTAGTCTTGTCTTACCATCACAAAAGCCACAGTCCTTAGCGAAAGTTTATGGGCATTTGCTAACACTGTAAAATTACAACAGAGCAAGTTCCTGCTTGCCCTTTGAGCTGTTGTACCTGGAGAGGTATTTTCTGCATCCACCCTACTTGGCTAACAAATTCGCAAAAGTGTCATTCCAGTCCTCGTAGCTATTTAACTTACATGTTTTCTGCTCATCCACAAATGGCCAACAATGTATTTTTAATCCTGCCAGGCTGAGTTAAAAGAATTTAATGATTTAAAATGGAGGCAGAGTTTGTAAGGCAGAGAAAGAATATTGTACCTAATCTTTGCTTGCAGAGGTCACAAGGACTTCAAGGGCTACTAGAAAAACTAGACCGCCTACATAAAATATGCAGCTCATGTTTAAATTAACTAATTTTACCGAAGACTTGGGACAGATAAGAACATGCACGTGGACAATAGGGGTGGCAATGTGGAAGAGCAGTTCTTTAAGCTGCCGTAAGTCAGCCATGATTCACCGTGTGCCTGTGCCCATAATTCAGGTAGAACCCCAGCATCCTGAATTGTGGTAGCAGGAAGTGTAATGTGGAGAAATAGGGATTTAAATGTATATTTTAATACAATGACTTTTTTTTTTCCCTGGTATACCTTGAATGGCTTTATGAAACCCAGGAGCAAATACTTAGAACAAGATGACAGCTTTTAGATACTTCTTTTGTGGTTATATTAAAATCTTAACACCTTTCCCCAGATATGCAAAAATGGATCATATAAAAAAAGGCAAAAAGCAAGCAATGATTACTTGCAGCTGATAAGCTAGAAAGAAAACTTGTAAAGCTAGTGAGTCTAGCTCCCAGGACATTGCTGGCCTGTTAAACAACACAAAGGTGGGGCATATTTGTGTGGTTTTTTTATGCTTGTTAATCCAGAGATACACAAGGAAAATATATTTTCAATTGCACTTCATCCAGTTAGAAGACGTTGACTGGCAAAGTTTCCTCGGTATTAGCAGCAATAGCTTAATACAACCTGATCTCCTTCTATGACCAGGTGCCCGCCTAGTTGGATGAGGGAAAGGCTGTGGATGTGGTCTGCCTGGACTTCAGTAAGGCCTTTGACACCGTCTCCCACAGCATTCTCCTAGAGAAGCTGGCGGCTCACGGCTTAGACAGGTGGACTCTGCACTGGGTAAAAAACTGGCTGGACGGCCGGGCCCAGAGAGTTGTGGTGAATGGAGTTAAATCCAGTTGGCGGCCGGTCACGAGCGGGTTCCCCAGGGCTCAGTATGGGGGCCGGTCTTGTTTAATATCTTTATCGATGATCTGGATGAGGGGATCGAGTGCACCCTCAGTAAGTTTGCAGA